TGTACTTCAGGGAGTCGCGGACCTGCGGCGTGCTCATTGTTCTGACAAGCTTGCAGGAAGGGATGTGCACCGGTTCCTGATCCAAATAGCTGCATTTGTCACCCAACATGAAGCCAGCACTGCCACAGCCAGAGCCTGCAAGTTATGCACATCACAAAAGGGCTCAGTCCGTCGGGTCAGCACTCAAGTGGGCCGGGCTTTCTGCCTCAACGAAATCTGACTGAGTCCAGGAATTCTGCCAGTGCTGCTCTTTTGCTTTCTCCCTCTTGCTTCTCTCTCTTGCTTCCCTCTCTGGCACTAAGGAGGGAGACATCTTACGCCACCGTTTGCAGAAGCATTGCTTTAAGTCATGTCGGGGAGCAGCATTGCCAGTTAGCGCGGACTGTCACGATTTTTCCTTCTTTTCTATGATCCCTGGTCGTGCTGCTAATTACAACAATGTCTGAATCAGTCGGATAAATATTAGCTTGCTTCCCACTAACAGTCACCACCACGTGGTACTGCTTTAAGGTTCTCGTGAGTCACGTGAAGACCTCGTCTCCGGGAAGCACTGCGGCGAGCACAGTGAATGCGAAGGGCGTCCGCTCCTGGACCTGCCCCGGGAACAACAGCAATCCACTGAATTTTGGGTTCTCATCTGAAGTGGAAACCTGGAAAAGCTCGATCAGGTTGGCACATTTAGAAGAATGCAATCTCCTCTCCCCTCCCCTTTGTCCGTTTGGAAGCGACAACTGTTGGGCCATGCACACGTTGTACGGGCAGTGATGCATCTTCATCTGCCTAGATGCCCCTACGCATCCTCCATCACGGTACCCTTTATGTAGCACGCAGAGCTAATTTCTTTCAGAGCTTAAAAAACAGTACGAAACATCGCATGAGCATGATAACCTGAAAGCTTGCTGCTTGTTGCAGTACACACTAACCATTCATTTCAAGTCAGAAATTACAGTTAGTGTTTCCCCTGGCTTCCGCTGCAGCACCTGGGATGTGCAGCAGAAGGAGGCGATCCGGGAGTCCAGCCTCCAGATACCCAGCAAGTTGCCCTTGCAACTAAGGCGAGTACGCCATCAAATTCTAGGCACTGATTCTGCAAGTGCGTTGGGCTCAAATGATTGCAGCATCTGAGCTTGCTGCATCGCCTGCATTTGCTTCGACCCCGCATCCTCTCGCCTGCACCAATCAGCAGCTCTTGCACGGCATATTTTGTGCAACGCGGCCGGTGTCGAGAATTGTTGCCTGACTGTTGCCTGCCGAACCTATTGCAGTCTAAGCTGCAGGTCAGGCTTCAGTCCACAAAGCTTGTATGCTCCGGCCTCGCAGGCGGGAACCTGCGTGCCACGGCTGGTGAGCCACCCTGCGAAGCCAAACATCGTGAAGTCTTTGGACTTGATCATCTCTAACTTCGTTCTTGGCAACGTTCCATGCACAATATCTGCGCCTGCTGCTCAGGTGCCGTAAGTGGAGATGTGATGACATAAAGCAGCTCGATTAGACGTCCTTTGCGACTGTGTGTGCGAAGGCAGTTACACTCAGCAACATAAGGCAGCACTGGACCCTGCAAGTTTGTGTACCCTTTATGCCCTGCTCCTTGCCCGCACTTCAAAGTAGCGGCTCTCGGAACCTGCAGCAAGCCCAGCACAGGGACCTCGACGTAATGGCTGTGGCGGGGTTCTTGCAGACTCCGCAGGTGCACACTCGCCAAGGGCCCAGCCGTGAAGGCGCGCAAGGAGCGACGTGTGTGCTCCTGCTTTTGCTTCAGGGGCGCATTAGACATGCACGCAGTGTGCATGGCAGGCTAAACACCCAGACGAATTCCTCCGACAACTCAGGCAGCGCCGGCCTTGGCTGGTCGGAGAACTGCTGTGCCCTGACTGCACAGGAATGGCATGTAATGGCATGATATTTTTCCACATGTGCCGCGCAGCTTGTCTAATGGTCTGGTCCACGCCCTTCAGGTCAGGGCCAGAACCATGTGAAGCCATGAGCGCTTGGAGCATGTGTAAGCATAAGGCGGAATGCAGAAGCAGCAACACTGAGGGGCAGTACTCCATTCCACACCAATTACGACTGTGAACGCATGTATAGAGCCTTCAAACTCCATGTTTGCCACAAGGTGCTAATGCGTTCCACCCACTGCACTCATATCACTGAAAATCTTTGACGCACTGCAGTGCCCGTCTCACTTGACTCGCTATACCACACGAGTAAGCACCGCTATCTATCTTTGGTGTGCATCCATCGGTACGAGGACCCGGACCAAGGATAGTACCCATCCGCGCTTTCCCACCATCAGGCATCTGCATCCGCAAAATGGTGGGAACAGTCTGCCGGAGTCTATATCCATCCACGAACCTTCACGAATGGCTACCTTGTGTTCCTACAAGCTTTCTGAGCTGATATCCCTAGAACACACTTTCACAACAGAATAAGCCTCCTTTGCTGTCTGCTGAGGGTTAACCATGTAGCCCAATCCATAAGAACGTAAAGATGGGCTGGGTGTTCGCTCTACCACTCCCCAATTCAGAACATAAGAGTGAAGTGACGGGGCCGCAGCGAACTCCAGTCTGAAGCACGAAGGCTGGCACATTAAGCCGCATGGTCACGGAAACAAAACACAGAACTGGCAAGCCAATCCAAACCTCAGCGAACATCACAGCCTCCTCAGCAATGGCTCTTGAAGATATGAAAGAGAAACTGCAGTTCAGCACAACTCCTTCGTCCTGCCGAATTTTCAATCATCCTTCTAGGATGAGCCCATGGCAGAGACAATGACAGTTCTGAGGTCGTGAGTCCATTCAACACAAAGATCACGTGAATCAGTGCCCCCGGACCAAAAAAATCCAAAGACTTCCGACCTTCAGTGCTCTGCCAAGATATGGTCATAGCGAGAGTTGCACCTTGTCAGAAGCATCCTCGGATGTATCGGATGCCTCTTCTCCTGAGGCAATCCAAGAGTGCTAAAAGCATCGCAGCGCTGGAATTCCTGGTGGTGTTCATGTTATTCTGCCGGCACAACCATCTAGAAGCCTGCCAATTTCCATGTCAATGCTGGTGTTTTTTGTTGAAGTGGTTTTCTCTTCGGCACCTCTACAGGCTGCAAAGTCAACCCATGAACATGCTCTGAATGTTTCTTCAGGTGCGCAGAAAAATTCATGAATCAAGGATTGGCATCGCGGCCGATAGCCACGTCAGCAATACCCAGAACTTTGCATTGTTTGGCAATTGCCACTGGCTGCAACACGCGATACAGTCTGCGTAAAGTCTCTTGATGACATGCAATCTAATCACAGTAGATGCTAAACACCCTGTGGTTGTTGCAACAAGTGGTTGCGACTGATGTTTTTTCTGCGAAAATCGCCATAAACCCAAAATATCTCTTCCTCATCATTCGTATAAGCCATACCTGCTTCCGAAGAACTTTGAGAAGCCCACAGGCGCATGGCAGACATGCGCTTTCCAAAGCCTTCATTAAGCCCCTTGAACCCTGCAGAAAGATTCAAACTACTCCGCAAACGGAAGACCATCCCAAATCCGACATAGCCCTTGTTTTTGCCTTTACCCTCGTAAAGCTCTCTCAGACTAATTGCTGGCAATGACTTCTGCAACACGACCCCCGGCTACACTGACAGATTCAACATCATTCCTTTGTTTCTTGATAACACAAAGCCAAATGGAGAATCTGCGAAGGACTTGTCGATTGGAACCTTCAATCTGCAGTCCGTTCTACCAGACTCTTGGCTTGGCCTTCGTCCACGGGCAAGAGGCTGCCTGATCCACTTCGGATTTGCCTGACGCAGACATGAAAGAGCACTGATGCCAGATCACAACAGCTGATGCAAACTGACTGGCTTCCATGTTGGCGCGGACAGAAACTTTTTCCTGCAAGGATACAGCTTCGACCTAAACTCGTCTGTCGTGAGCATAAGCACCCATCCACTGAATTGGTCAGCTACTCACCACCACCTAACTACATCAAGCAACTGGAGCCAAATACAGATATAGTACAAGCAGTGGAGGCATAAGTTCTCGAAGCATTGCAGCTTTCATTCTAATACGGTGACCTCCTGGGTTCCTGATCCTCCCGCCACTCATCAAAAGTCTCGTCATCAGCGAGCTCGAGGGCATACTGCCCGTACTGACCGGGCGAAGTCTGCAAATCCTCCGTCAAAGTGTTAACAAGCTCGCTAACTGAAAGCCTCTGCAGTTGGAAAATGCCTCCAGCTTGGCATTCTTGGGAGGCTGCCAATGCCTGCAATACAAGGATCAACGGCTGCGAACGCTGCTTGGTTTACCATGTTAGCATCACCTTCCCATGACCAGATACTTGACAAGTTGGGCTCCTAGCTTGTATCCTATCACGCTTTCCCGCTGTCTTCCTTGTGGTCAGCGTAGGCGCCCATCGAAGGCTCTCCTGCTTAGCACGTCATGGTCTAGGTGCCTGGTTTGCAGCAAGAACATCAAGAATAGAAGCTTTCTCCCCCATGCACGAGTCCGTAACCAGCAGCTGCTGTGAAGCCGGCTTCGGAGCCGAACGTGGTGGTGCCTCCGCAGGTTGGTGAGGCCGAGCCCTTTTTAGCACGCGACATCAAGGTGAAACGCAGATGCGAGCGCCATGGATATGGCAAAGAAGCATGGTTTGAAGACATTCGTGAACACAGCCTCCTATGCAAAGAGGATGCAGGCTGACCTTTCGCTCCATCTGCTCCAGTTCCTCATCGATGGGTGGAGCCATGCCGATCAGTTCCTCACAAGATTGAACACTCACAAAAATGAGCTGCCCGGCGGCTCTGGTGAGCCAAGCTGCATTCAACACCGCTCTGTTGGTGCAGAAATCTTCGTCATCGTTGAAGCGCGAGCCCGCTGCGAGCATCTGCAGAACCCCCGCCTGCCCAGATTGGAAGCCGTACTTGGGAAGCACCTGCAGGCAACACCACTCCGATACATTTGCAGCGCGAAGTCCGTGTCAACCATGAGCATCAGACACCTTGTTCTGCACTGTCAGGAAGAGCTTTGTATGATCTTCGGTGTAGTTCTTGTAAGCTTTGCCATGAATCGCTTCCAGCTCTGCAAGAGCCTCAGGCATCACTGCGTCCGCAAATGCAAAGCCTGAAACATTGCAATCAGCTGTGATCAGAAGAAACTTGCAAGGAATCTGACTGCCATCAAAGCGTCCACCCTGCCTCCTTTGAACCCAAGACTGTTGACGTTGCTAAAGTCTAGAATGCTGGTACAGCTATCAAATTATACTGCCACCGACAGTAGCAGCAAGACTTGTTGAATAAATAGGATCAAAACCCAGGGCCCAGATGGCCCAGCAGCATCTTGGAAGCCCTTCTCTGCGAAGCCCATATAGAGCTCGGCCTCGCCAAGGACAGTAACTCCAAACGTGCGGCTGAATGAGCTGAATGATAACTGCCGGGTGCCTGCAGATCCTTGATCTCCTGGAGAGATAGCTCAGGCGGCGGCGGCATTGCTCTTTCAGCGCTCTTTGCGTGACAGCTCTGTGGCATATTACGTCTTAGCAACTCAGTGCGGGATGCTCAAATAAGCAAAATCTGCACTTCTGGAACTGAGAAGGCCTTCAGCCTACCAGCTTGCATTCTGCATCTCACGTTGTGAACAACCATCCTCAAAGAAGCCAACCGCGGATATCATCGGAGGTGCCAGGCCATGTCACAGAAAGTGTGTCCGGTAGCCTAAATGCATGTGTACAAATGACAAAGACTCTGCATTTCTGGCGCCTTGAGTCGATCCTCGGTTCCGAGCAGGTGCATGCATAAGCGCCGAAAACTGACAACGTCTCTTCTTCTGCGCCGAAGCGCTTGCGTGCCATGACCGTGGCACTGCGCTCACAGCTGACCTTTCAAGGAATCACACGGACACAGGCATTCTTCACTACTCAAACTCCTCTCTCAAGCCAAGGCAAGCCAAAGGGCCATCTCCTCCTCCGAGGCTGACCGCTTTGGCGTATCGTTGCTCCTGCTATTGAGCATGACCTGGCTCATGCGGCAAGTAGCAGGTCTCATTTCCATACGCCCATCCATCAAAATCCTGGTCTGTTTCGTGTCAGCTTGCTGTGTCCAGAAACGAAAGCTTCTGCACCTTCTCGTACGCTTGATTCATCTCTAGCTTGGCGATGTCTATATCCTCTGTCCTCAGCAGCACGAAGTGCGACCAACAAATGCTTAATAGACAAAAATCCAGAAGTAGTTGCTACACCTATCCTGCACAACAGCGCAGCTTGCAGCCAAGATTCGAGGGTGGTCTGTCGTGAGACGTTTCCTGGTTTTCAGATTCATACTCCGACCTGTCCATGAATTGCCATACATGTTGTGAACTCTGTTGGGCATCATGGCGGAGCACTTGCAGGCCGATGAGCTTGTGTAAAACACTGCTGTCTAGTGACAGGGCAGGCTTCTACTACTCCTGTGAGCTAAAATGACCTCGGATATCTTGTGGTGCTTCTACAGAACCCAGTACAGGTAGCTTGAAAACAGCCGCACCTGCACAAGCCAAACCTAGCTGCAACTGCCTACTGGTCGTAGCTGTCATGATGAGGGAGAAGGTCTTCCCGCCCCGAAATGCGCGTTGCAGGGCCTGATCAACAAGCGACACTCTCTCATTCTTGCACATCCGCAAACACTCACGCGTCTTGCTTTGGCCTGGGTGTCAGCGTAACCTAATTTGTTTCATGACAGCTGAGCATGGATAAGTGATCAAGCTTTTGGAGCCCAACACGTCACGCGGCCAAGCTGCGCTTCATTTCCAATAGCTCAGTGCTCTGTTGGTTGGACAATGTGGCAGCGATCGCTGCGACGCCCGTGTCATCTTCCGCGGGATACCAGCGAAGACTCAGGGACCAAGGAGGGAAAACTGAAAAGAACACGTCCTCAAAATTGCCACTGAGACACTGATGCCCAGTTCGCGGATCAACTGTATATGGCGACCAGCGCACGCCAGAGCCTTGGCACTTTTTCCTTGAAGCTGCCAGTGTCTCAGAAAGAAAAGTGTGCAACGTGGCAACCAAGCTCTGAAGTGAACTGCATCGTGTGCAGCGGCGGCGGTGGTTTCGTGCTCTTCTTCGAAAACGAATCTACCTGGAATGCACATGCAAACACTACGGCTTAAGATGTACAAAACATGGCAAAATCAAACGATTGGCCAGGCTGCTGATACGCCACCGAAATCTTTGCGCTTTACGAAAGCAGCACCCCAGCCGCAATATTTGACCCATTCCTCAGGCCAAGCGAGATGCATGACTGTCTCCAGCAGAGTGCGAGGCAAAGCATTGGCAGCGAATCGCACTTTTACACTATTTGCCTCTACCATGCCCCACGCTTCCAGGTCAATAGTAGATTGCACTCATTGCTTTGGGTCACAGCTCTCGGAGACTCAAGAAGGAGTTGCCTATGTGCTCTCAATTAGAGAGCGGGTTGCTCATCCCTTGCATGCTTGGCGGGCACTGCATGGCATGACTTGAGACGAGGGGAGGGACGAAATCTACAACACCCTCGAAGACCTCATCAAGAAGGAGGCCGAAGCGTTCCCCTTGCAGGAACGTCTGGGGTGTCCTTTGGATAGGGCCCGCCCTCCCCACACCTTGTAGGACCAGATTCAATCTTTACGTGTCCTCCAACGGAAACGGTTGGGAGGCTCCACGTTGATGGATTGATTTCACGGAGCCCCCAATATAACACAAATCTTTAAATCAGCGATAGATCAGAGCCTGAAGCCATGTTCAGGAGTGGCAACCTACGCTAATAAACGACGACTACCGCCAAGCTTCAAGCAGCTTGCTTTCGTGACATGCACACGAAGGCACAAGGTTGGAGCGATCCAAATTGGAAGCAGCGTACTGAGTGCTTCTTTTTAATGACACATTAGTCAGGCATGTCTACACACTGCGCCCACGGCCCACGTACGAGATCGTACGAGTTCAATCATCAGATGCGTGAGGAATTCTGCAAATCTCCCAACCTCATCAACCAATGAAGAACACATAAAGAAAGAATCTGGGACTTCAATCCAGTCACAATGCAAACCTCTGGCTTGATCATTGAGCAGAACGTATGCACCAAGTCCTGCGCGGCTCCATAGCAAAGTAAGGCTGTCAAAACACAGATGAAGTAGAAAAGATAATAAAAAGTGAAAGCAATGTGTTTTAAATCACCCAACGCAAGTACTTATCATGTCATATGTCCAATGCTCACTCGTCTTCATTTCTTCAATCCTGGCCGTCCTACATCCTGACAGAAAAGGCCTGGTGCGTGACAATCAGGAAGTTGAGTCGGGCATGTCGCCCTCGCTCCAACCACTCCTTGCTTGTTGCACGATCACTGTGTCAAAAGGAGCCGGGACTGCATTAGAAGCGGGACTGCATTAGCAGCCTAAAATATCTGAGCACTGCCAGCCCTACACACGAACGCATCAACCAAAAATCCATCATGTATGCTCTTCCTGAAATACCAAACATGCCAGAAAATGCTCACACATGTGACTCATGTCCACCACCAACCCTGCACATGCCCAGCTGCTGCATGACATTGGAAGTCAAGCTACTTGTCACTCTTAGCAGCAGAAGACGCAAGATGAAGCAAGCGTTGGGCACTGAATATACGACTTGGCAGAGACTTTTCACCCCTCTTGCAGTCGCAAGGCTGCAAAGCGGTAGAGACCGCGAATGTGTGCTGAACGTCGCTGCTCGGGGAAAGGTGGCGCAATGCCAACCTCAGACATGCTCCGAACTTCTGCATTATTTTCATAGCACATTTTCCGATGACCATACCATGTTCATACAGCAAGTAACACTCATATCCTTGAGTCATGTTTGGCAGGGTTGGCAACATCCCATTCTACTATCGCACAGAAACGCAGCTCGAACTGAAGCAAAATGTGTTGGTATCAAGTGCGGAGTCGCTCTGCAAGAAGCTGCTCGATTTTTTGGTGCCTGCATAAACCAGGCTGACCGGAATGGCACAAGAAGCACTACTAGAAGCCCCTGGCCACGTGCATTTTGGAAAACAGTGAGCAGTCTGAGGGCGCCTGCTCTTGAAGATGTTATTGCGGAGTTGCCGTGCCACAAGAACTATCACAGTTTGCAGCTTAGCGCTCGTGTGCTTTAGTGTACTGGATGAGCAGCTCGTTGGCAGCTGGATTCCTACGCAACCAGCTGTGAGATTTTCATGCATCATGAATCTTTGCCTCCGGCATTTTCTGGATCCTTCGGCATATACTGTGCGCCTTCCTCTCTTCCAAACTAGTCGACAAGGTTAGCGGTTGGACGGCATTGAGTGGCCGCAGTCTGCATTCCAGGCCGGTGTCAGGTCCAGCTTTCCCGAATCATTTCCGTTCTCGAAGGCATGCCCGTGCCCCTCGCTCGCTGCGAACACTCTCCGGAGCAGGCTGCAGGTTGTCATGTGGTTGCCAAACAGTCCTGTGCCCTGATGTGGCCCTGATGGCAAAAAGAAAGTCCCCCCCGCAAAAAGCTGCCACCCGGTCTATAGATCATATCTCTGTTGCAGGGCACGAGCAGAAGCTGAGCTCCTCACGAATGAGGACGCGTTCAGCCTCTCTACTCCTCAGAGGAAAAGCACTTGCAGCAACAATCGCAAAACCAATATCCTCTCTACTGAGCTGCGATGAGCTGCGAGCCTTGGAGGTCCGGCAGCGAAGCCACCTCGTCATAGGTGCGGCGCCGGCTGCAGAACTCCTGGTGGGCCTTGATCAGCCTGGGAGACGCAACTGAAAAGCAAAAGCAACAACTTCACCAGCATTGCTGATGTTGCAGCAGCAGCACTAGAAGCCAGCGGACTGGCACAACCAGAATTTCACGACTCTGCTGTCCATGTGTGGCTGGAAGAAGCATACGAACATGTGAGGGTGGGTCCGCCGTCAGAATGCAAAGAAACAGACAAGTGAAAGTTAAGGCTTCTTCGAAGGCATCGACACTAGAAAACCACACAACGAGCCAGTTTAGGGTGGCAGCCCGTCAATCCAAGCAAGGAAGGCATGCTTTTTGACCGAAACTGGTTCGGGATTCCTTACCCTGGTTTCCCCACAAGACACATCACCAAGCGGCCCAGGGTCGGTGATCCCAGGTGGCTTCTTATAGAGGCCAACCTTGAACTCAAAAAGACTTGGCAACGCAAGGCTTGAGCAGCTTGCTTACCTACCGTCACCACACGCTGATCCAAAAAAAAACCTTTGGGAGCTGCTTTCCTAATCCATCATGCCTCGGCAATTTCAGCATCGATGAGTATGGGCACCTGCGGTGCAGGAATAGTTGAGCCAAAAAGGCCACGGCAATTGCCGCGAAAAACACGTGAGGAGGGCGGACACTTGCAGTATGGCTGGGTGCTTCTTCAACTCATGTGTGACCAAGGCGTGTCAGTGATCAGCGGCTTCTTACCAATGAGTGTCGTTCCAGCCACCTTCTTGCCATACCGCTCTGGCAAGACCTCAATGATGGCAGCTGCTGTTTGTACACAACGATGAAAGGGCGAGGTGATGACGACGTCAATCCTGGGGGCTGGCTGCTTGCTTACATTGCGGTAAAAAGACACATGAAGTCTGCCTTGCCAACCATGCAAGATCACAAGTGCAGCAGGGAATCGGCGTCCCTACCTTGTTGCATAGCTCTGCCAGCGTCTGTCCCTGGAATTTGGCCAAGCTCTTTCCTGCAATCATTCCGTCGGGACTATCTCAGCAAAGTCAGCTTATCACTTGCTTGTAACTTGTAACAGATAATGAAAATCTCCCTTTCACCTCGGGTTGTAATGGGCGGGTCCATAGGAAAGCTGCGAGAATCGGGATGCCTTGGCTGGGAAACAGCAAATGCCTTACAGCAGGTTCTCACTTGTGCAGCGCAAGGGCTGGAACCAGGCATCTTCATCCGCAAAATCCAGCCGCTCGGAGTGCCCTCAGTACGGCATTGGATTCCTATCCACCAAAGTTAGAGGCTGTGGATTCTTGGGTGCTTCCAGTGCGAAGAACGCTCTGTATTGCTGAACCCTTGAGGTTTGCGATTGCTTCCTTCTCAGGCTCCACCAGCTATCCTCTGCCAAACGCAAAATTCATCGGCACTCACTCTTGGCCCAGGCACTCATTACAACGAGAAGCTGCTGCCATGTTTTCTGGCTGCAGCCCATGCCTCGACAGGAATGGCAAACGGCGCGGTAGGAACTTTTCCCCAATGCTTGACCAATGCAGCTGAGATGCAACATGCCATTGGGCAAACTGGCACACGTGTGCGCTCCAACCGCCAAAGACTAAGTGCTTGCGGCTCTACACCAAGCATGGGTTTGGCATGCATGCTGGGTGTTGTGCGCACTTCGCTTTGGTGGCTGACTATCTTGTCTCTGCCGCGCAACCGACCCTCTTGTCCATTTTGGTAAGGTAAAGCTCTCATGTTGTTTGCACGCTATGCAACAGAAGGTAGAGCAGCAGCATCGCGGCGCAACGTTTTGGAGCAACTACTACCGGCCGGCAGTTTCCGGGAATGTTGCTGGAAATCCCAACAGGGAGGTCCTAGTTGCAAGAATATCGCCACCCACTGAGCAGGACCGGAAATCACCTCGGATACCTTGCCATTCTGCATCCCATTTCCCGCTGCGGTGTTGAGGCACAGGCCCAGCGACTGTCAGTGACGTATCCATGAATGCACGCACCCATGCCTCCTTGAAATCCTTCGAAGTCAAGCATGAACAAGACCCCAATTGGCCAGCTGCCTCAAGTCCAGCTCCTGGTAAGAAAGGGGCCACACCTCCTCGACCCACGGCGCAGAAATGCCTGGCCCAGGGCTGACGCGATGCTGTTTGCACCAACAATCACGCGGAGTCTGCGCAAAAGCCACCACACACCAAAAAGCACCTGGCACGCTTTCAGCTTCTGATTGCCTTGGAAGCATGGGGCAAATTTGCTTTGACCCGCAAAAACACTTAACAAAAAACACTTCTAGATTAGGTCGCCTTACACATTTGGTCCCGCTTGTCTAGCCTCATCACTTCCTACGCACAGATCAACATATTCGGGCATGTGCTCTCCATGTCTGAGGCGGGAGCTGCGATGCGCGAGAACACCTCACAAAAGCAATATCTGAGGATCCACTTCTCCAGATCCCAGATATCCCAGAGGTTCTGAAAGAGTGCTTCCGTTTAGACAGGGGGCATGCCTGCAATGCTTTACTTTCTTTTAGGCTCTTCAGTGCTCAGAGCTGCGACTTTTATGCACAAAGTTCAGGGATGTGAGCAGACTCTTGGTGAAACAACTACAGTAAATATCTTGGCAGCTCGAGACTCTCGGCCCAAACACTGGGCATATAAAGCAGCATGCATGATCTACAGCATTGGGACGTGATCCTGAGACAACCTCCTCAGAGTTGCTCCAACCGCGCCGCCATCGGCGGGAGGAAGGAGCTGACATCACAGCCTTCGGCAATGTCTGCAAGCTGTCGCATGGGAATCATTTTTGTTCCAAACCAGTCCCTCACAATGCCCCAGTGTGCCTGCAGTGAGGGCTGTAGTTTCAGGCGGCCTTCAAACAGAACGCTTCCATGCAGATGCACTTCCTGCATGTTTTGGCCACTAGTTGCTAGTTGCAGTGGGCCTTTCCTGGATGTCCATCTGAATCTATATGCAGGTTTACGTATACGTGGCTTCATGACACGCGCCTCTGCCTCCTCCTCCTCCCCGTCCTCCACTGGTTCTTCTACTTCATCAGGAGGCGGCGGCGGGTCCTGTGCAGTTGCAGATGCAGCTCACTGCATGCTCCAAGGAATTTGAGTGTATTCTTCAACTGGTCTCCTGCGGTCCCATGGAGATCTGTCCAGGCTTTGCCTGAGGAGCTGGTGCTGGAAACACATGGAAACCTGCATTTCTTGTGCACCGCAAGGCCTCGAAGAGCTGCTTCGTCTGCTGCACAGGCTCACCACTAAGACGAAGCCTGGGCTGGTTGTGTTCAAGGAGCTCACACGCCAAGAAACTATGTCTTGCGTATTCATGGCCAAGCCACACAACCCCATGAGGCCAGGCGGAAGCAATTTTCGGCTCGTTCTGCTGGAGCCAAACATACCTTAACGTCACCCACTTTCCCTAAAGGTTCTTACCTGCCTTCAACAATACTTTCTAGAAAGGCACACTCTTGCTTGGAGCTCCTCAACGGCATCAGCTGTTGACAGTTGGATGGGCCCAACAGGCACAGGGTTTCCGCTGCCGTCGTCAATGAGAATTCGGATTTTCCCCCGTCGAATCCTGGGAAAAGAACAGGCTTGTACGCTTTTTGAAGCTAGAGCAAGCTGCAAGTCTGTAAAGTGTGAACTAAGAGACTTCGTCAAAGAGAAGCAGGGCTGCCTCTCTCTCTGTAGTTTCATAACAAGCGGCAGTACATCTAGTCTAGCTCGCCTACACGTCCACATATTTCACGTATATTGGTGAGACTCCATGTATTACTTGCTGCATCTGTCACGAACACGTAACGCACGCATGTCCAAAAGTCAGGCCCAACCTTTGCACAGAAAAATGACGAAGAAAAAAAAAACGCTGGGCACGCAGAAAGACAGATCTGTTGTTATCATCACCCATAGGGCCCTATCTTTACAGTGCTCATCTTGCGGGATCCAAGTCTCTGCAACTCCTCCGTCCATTTCTCTCTTTGTGCTTGGAGGCTGTTGGACCACCTCGCCTGCTGCTCTGCAACGCTATGGGCCACGATTTCGTCCACCTTTCAGATCGAAAGTCGGGAGACCCTGCTATAGACAGCTAGCTCATGTTCCACTCACCCCGGACCTGTTGCTGTGCCCGCTTCACTGCTGAGACCTCCTGCTGCACTTGCTTGAAGAGGCCCTGCATAAAGCTCCTCAACATGCCCAGACGGGTCTAGCATGCCTGATGCCAGTTTTTGGACGGTGACGGCCTCTGGATGGCAAGGCCGCGGCTATCCGGGAATGCTACTTCCTTCAGGTCTTCCACAGCGTTTGGCAGGATGTCGGCCAGATGCCCCTTCGCGGCATTCACTGCCTGGATCCTCGGAATTTTCAGGCTGTGGGCCGTGTGGGCCGTGGCTCCCAAGGTTTCAAACAGTAAATCTTTCCAAGGCGCTTCAAGAGCACACGAGCCTCGCGCTCCTTTTGCGCGCGCTGCGCTGCCATGACAGCTTCCTTCTGATGCCATCGCACCCACTCCTGCAGGGCTGATGTCGAGGCCTGGCACGCCCTCAACCTAACAGCTTTGACAATGCTGAGAACTTCCCAGTCCTCTTCAACCTGTTCCTGCCAAGCCGCCATCATGCTCTTCTGCCTGCACAGCTTCAGTAATAATCAAGCCAAGGAAGGAGAAGCAGCCCAGCAGCAGCCCAGCCTCTCGTACCATGCACCCTTGAAGCTTGTCATGGAGGACAGCTCGTGCTCCTCCTCTACTTCCATGACGGATTGCTCCAATGTCTTCATGACCTGAAGCCAGATTTGAGCACGCAACCCTCCAGAAATTCAAGAAAATACTTGCAACCCTGCAACCAGCACGTCCAAGATGGGCTCGACCTCTGCATCAAAGTCGAAAAGCTCTCCATCCTGCACTGAGCCAAGCAGGCATTCATAAACAGCAGCAGCAGGGTCTTTATTCTTTCTTGCCCATCTTGCCGCGAAGGTTTGGGTCCTCGACCTGTGTAGAGGCATCAATTCCACTCCTGTGACTCACACCAAGGCTCAAGACTTCAAGCATCTGAGCAGGCGCAGACTTTCTACATCCAAAGGCTTTCGCCCACCTCCCCCAGCAAATTGCAGGCCCTGAAACACTCTCCTCTGCGGCTGGTACTGCTCCGGCGGCGGTTCTGGGAGGAACTCGTCTGTCTGGCACTCAACTACTTCGACCTGTCGCCACTTGAAATACTCTCCAGATCACCTGCCAAAAAAAACTCTGTCCCACCTGCAAAGGCTCCTCGCTGGCAACGAGGTGTTTTGTGAGGTCTACTGGGACACGCTCATGCTCGGGCAAGGGCATGTCGAATAGCGACTTTTCCTGCAAGCTCTCCAGGCACAAAAAAAATTCAAGAGCCATCAGTTGTACCAGAGCCGCCTTTGGCTTTCTTTTCTTGGCAACCTTGGGCGAAACCTGACATGGCAGTGACTGCTTTGTAGCTGCCTGGATGCCAACGGTCGTCCTGCCTGCGATTTCTGGGCAGTTTCAATTGCCTCGTGCGGAGAAGTGCTGCGCATGCAAATCATGAAACCGGTGTGAAATACCCTGCCTCCTTGATTGCATTTTGGGTATACATGCTGTATGTGTTTCCTCGGTGAACTCGCTTGTCCCAGGAGATGCATGTCTCCTTAACCTTAGCAACACGCCATCTTTTTGCCCCTACGCGAAAGGCAGGGCTCTACATGCGAAACACAGCAACATGGGCATAAACATTGCATTCTGTTGCAGCGCCATCAAGTCTGACAACCCAAACTGCGGGCAGGCGCTCATTACCATACAACACAGAAGGCATAAATGGACCAAGGAGCGCTGCGATACAGGCCAGAGTCCACAGGACCCGGCTCTCGATACTTCTTTCTCGCTCCGACAGCCTTTGGAGCGGAGCTAAAGGAGTAGGTGGAAGATGCCGACTGCGCCATGCCCGTCGACATGGTCGGGGGCAACCTTGTGTTTTGCCTCGCAGCTGCACACTGCGGCAAATGGAGGAATGCATGGGAGCTACATGAAGGGCACCTCTCAGAGGCGTGGCTCAGCACCTCATTCAGAAGTCATTGGCAGGCTCAGGCTTCAAGAAAGCCTATAAAGATTTCATGTGCCGTCAAGGCTCCTGCCAAAAGGCGTGGCTGAGCAAGACACTTGTGCTAGCGACTCCCCAACCACAGCTCTCTTAGCTGCGGAATGGGGAGACAAAGCAACTGCAGAGCCAGATGCCAAGGGGCCAAGCAGTAGCTCATGCTGGCTGGCATAATTGCTTCTTGACAAGAAACCAAACAAGTTGCCACATTGCACCTGCGTAGCAGCGAAGAGTAGCAGCGTCTGAACGAAGCCCAGCGAAACCTAAAGAAACATCCAATCAACCACTGCTTGTCAGTTTGCAAAAGGCAGGGCGCTCGGGTCCATGCCAAAAGGAGGTCTGAACTGATGTCGAGGAGAGTGGGCCCTTATGAGATCAAAAAACAGGATGATGGTCATTGCACCAGAGCGCTCCGAGCACACTAAGGCGGCCGCAGAGTCGAAGCTGGACCTGCTCGTGCCCAGACCTCACCAGAAAACATGGCTACACAAGACCCATTGAGAGTGGGATCAGAATGGACTGATTTTCAACAGATGGAGCACAGCCACTTTGGGCTGCTTGCACAGCCGTGTCTCTGACACTGCTGAATTTTTGGCTTGTAGCCGGGTGCTCAAGGCCCTCAAGCTTGAACTGCCACTGAACAAGCGCGCCGGCCACTTCTTGTGTGCACGGCGGGTGCATTTACATGCCGTGAGCACGTCAGGCTATCCACGACATTCACTTTACTACAAAAACTTTCCATGCTCAGCTCACGAACTCCGTGAACTGTGAACTCCTAACACTACGCTACAAGCTGACTTCTCGTGGGTTCAGAGCAAATTGCCAGGCTCCCTGAGCACAACTGGAATCACATGAGAATCAGAACCACATGTCTGCGCAAACGGCTTCTCGACAGGGTTGATAGAGAAGTGGCAAATGGGCACTTTCTGGCCAGGTGACGCTGCAGGCCGGCCACCAGGCTTGGCTCTGGATCACGCAGATCGCGTGCGGTTGAGCCGAAGACTGAGTGCACTTGCTCCTGTCACAAAAAGGACCACAAGCAATCTCCACCTAGTGGACTCTGCCAAGCCTTCGTGGCGTGCTCGTCGAGGGCGGTGCTCAAGCCCTGCATGCGCAGAAGCAGCAACAATGTCGGCGACATCACGTGACGTGCAAAGTCAGCCTCCAGCCTCTGCAGCATGACTTTCAGCTTTGCCTGGAGCACATGTCAGGCACACAAGGCGAGAGCCAAGCGAGGGCCAGGCAAAAGTCGCAAAAGTCGCAAAAGCCTCGCCTTTGCATCCTGCGCACACCTGCCAGGGAGAGCTCTGGAGCATCTTGCTATATCTCGCTCTTTGTTTCTTTCAATGCAGACAAGATTCACTCGCATTGTGCCTAGACACGCGGGCAACACGTTTCAAGGCATGAGGCGCACCACTGCAGCTTGGTCACGTTGCTCATCTTGCAAATTGCGATGGCCCAACTCATAGATGTTACACTCCTCCTCCAGAACCTGAAAGCCAATAGCAGATAGCAGATGCAGGTGTCGCCCTGAAACATTTCTGCCAAGCTGCTCCTTGAACTTGTGACCGAAGGCTTCCAACCTGGAACTGGAACAGCCACAACAAAAATGCCACAACAAAAATGTCAAGACGAAACTGGGACCACAGCAAGCATCAGCAAAAAACATGCCCGCTCGAAGGCAACAAGCATAAAAAGTCATTTTCCAATCCCAGGCACTGTGTCCCGTAACACATCAACAATCCTCAGGGTGCTCTCTTTCAGACCTGCAAGGGGCCACACACGTGACAGGCTCTAAAGAATGTGTTCGCCTGGCCTAGGTGTGTGGGGCTTGGCAGGGTTCCTGCAGCATCTCGCGCTTCTTCCACAGCTATGCGAACGGCTGAGACCTGACAAACCAGAGGAACAGGCAGGGAGCATCGACAGCGCAACATATCAAGGAGGGGCCTCCTCCTGCAGGATTTTCACCTTCAGGCCAATTCAAATGCAGGGACCTGTGACTGACAGACCTGTGACTTGTGGATGCCCACTACGTTCCTTAAAGGTAGCTTCACCCCGGCTTCTCTTGGGACATGTGGCCCTTCCACTGCACATCTTTAGCTGCATCCGCATGTTCCCCATGCCATAGCGGACGTCCGTCGTCTCCTTCCACAGCCGCTGGGCACTGTGCAGCGTTCCTTGGGCAGATCGGGGCACAAAAGCTCTACACCTTGGGCGCGGAAGTGCTAATGCATCTCACGCTACACACACTGCCAAACCCATACACACACTCGTGACGAGAGTCTTTTGGCTTGCGACAGCGGCAAACCTGGCACCACCTTTACCAAGTCCTCCGGCTTGACCAGAACCTCGCGAAACAGTCTCCAAAGGCAATACTCTCGGCCCAAGGCGTTGAGCAGACAAACTCGAAAGATAGTCGATCGGCCCAAGGCTTGAGAAATGGCGTGGCTTTGAGCACTTGCCTCGCTCTCGAACATCTCCCTCATCGATTGAAATTGCTCAAGATAAGCAAACCAAATCTCGCTCAGGCGAACCTTAGTCTCATGACCCGTTTAAGTCGCGACAGACGCTAGGATTCAAACAGAATGCCTCCTAGAAAGTCCCAGGAACGGTTTTCTTATCCCGGTTCAGTCGTCGCCGCCGCAACATTTCCGAAATTTGCTGGGGGACTGTCATCATCACGGAGGCTTGCGATTTGACAACCTTATCACAGACCGTTTCGCAGTCACCAGGGACGGAAAAAATGGAAGCCACTTCAGCTGTCGAGCAGCCCCGTAAGCATCCATCAAGATTGCTAGGACCATGTTCACGAGCAGCAGCACAATAAGAACCACCTGTACGAGCAGGTTGGCAGAAATAGAGAGCAAACGTTTGTTTCGATTCTAAGGCAGGCTACGAAACACCACAGCCAGATCGCCGCCAACACCCTGCCAACACTTTGCAGCTCTTCCTTAAGAGGTTCGGCACACTGGACATGAGCACCCTCAAAAAATGGCTGACGAGATGTCCAAGTGGCCCAGTCCCATTCACCAAGCAATGCACGGAAGCAAGTGATGCACGCACCTCGAGCCAGTACAAGTTCATCGCCAAACATGATGGAACAAAAGACTCTTTGCGTTAGCCGAGAGTCGGTCCCAAGTCGAGAAATCCTGCACGTCCTGTCCAAATAAAAGATATCCGAAGATGGCCATGCAGCTGTAGACAGAGAACAGCACGATGAAGAAGTGCAGCAAATCTTGACTGGCCGTGATTATCGTCTTCGTAACCAAGGCCTTCATCTGTGTCCAAAGAACACACATGACTCACATGACATAGACACGGCTCAACTCAGCCAAGCGGCCAGTCGTGGCTGGGCGTGGAATGATTTGAACAAGCGCAACATAACCTAAAACGGGCGTGGCCGCTTTGCACTGATATGCACTGACAGCTATAACGGTTCTGAAGCTGAGTCCATGGCAAGCATTGGGAAGAAAAGCAGTGTTGTACGAAAGTCCCTCTCTGCTGCAACCAAGCTCTCCTTAGTTTGCATTAGCATACATCCCGAACATGAACAACTTCCTCCTCACAAAAAGATAAGAAAGATATTCAATCAGATCAAGTCACAGTAGCCTGAAAGACAAGATCGCTCCTGGCAGCAAGCTCCGTCCTCGTCAGATTTACAACGTCCGGCTGCAGGACTCTCTCGAGTTGTAGGGATGTCTCCCCGACCTCCGCTTCAACAAAACAACGACTTCCCCAGCGGCCCTGCTGCACATGCCGCACATTGCGGAACCTCCACTCCCGCACGGACGTACGTCCCGAGCACTGCCCAAGCACAAGCCAGTGACAGCCAGTCCACAACGTTCCAGAATGCCTTTCGCACAAGACGTCAACAGGACTTCTGTTCCCACATGAGCTGAGGCCATGGCAAAGTACTCAAAAAGGAGGGCTTTCCACCAGACGGACTGTGAGCCGGTGATCGTGTTCACAATGTCCTGCACCTGTACCCCACCAGTTGGCAAGATCTGGTTGCTAAGACCTCCAAGAGGAAAACAAGCCTCGTTGAAGAGAAGCTTCAGGAGCCCAATCAGCCAAAGGATGTCACCTGCACGTATGCACAGGAGCCGCAAGCGCGGTGAGCAGCCGGGAACAGGCTGAACTGGACATGTACTTTGCTGCGAGCTGGTCACAGAGGACCATGATGAAGACAGAAAGCAGATATCCCACATAAGGATCAATTCGCGCCGACTGCACATCCCTGAGTGCAGAAGCATTCACTAGTTCAGTACCACATGATGAGAAACGAATGAAAAGGCAGAGTGTAGCTGGGGAGCAACAGTGTGTACACATGCCCTCCCTTGTTGATGAAGAAGTTCACGGACACGAAGGAAAGCAGACCGTAGTTCTGATTGTAAGCCACCGTGCTCACTTCCACTCTTCTGGTGTACTCCTTGGTTGCACACCAGCCGAGTTAGCAGCTGCCTGACATATCCCTCATTCCGTCTATCCGGACAGGCCTATGACAGGCCAAGTTGCATCTAGCCATGGTCCAGGAATCAAGCTACCTGAGAAAGATCGGAGCTCTCTGCGGCAGACGTACTAAATTTGCACGCCAACAGACTCTGGCTGCTCCAAGCCTGCAGGGCCCTGGGCACCATCCCGGCCTTCGTCAAAATGAAGCATCATCCGGCTTGAGAAGCTGAGGCAACAATGCTGGCTCTAAGCACTTGCAGCTAATTCAACCTCGGTCTGCCTTCGTGCCATCTTGAAATGTAGCTCTGCAAGTTTATTGTAGCCGACCGGTAATATCCCGCAGTCAAGTGGCAAGATTGGCACCAACAATCCTCAGGGACCTGGCGAAGCATGCCAAGTTTAGCAGGCAAAGCATCCTGATTTCGGCAGGCCTCAGGTCGTCCTGCCATCAACGACTTGCCAGTCAAATCTGAGCATCCGTCCTGAAACAGACCCTAGCATCCATTGCAAACTGTGGTCACATGCAGCGGTTTGTGTCCTCCATGTCCAGGGCCAGCATCTGCAGCTCCTGCAGGTCCTGCTGCGCCGTCAGCATCCACTCCACGCGCATGGGCTCACCATTGAAAGTCTCGGAGTCATGCACCTTAGAGCAAACGATCGCCCATGTACCAGCACGCAGGGGAGATCAAGTTGAAGCGGAGTCCAGGCGCTTCCGGGGTGAGAAAGTACGAGGGCTCGGATACCATGCATGGCTTGCCCAGCCAGTCCTTCCAAAGCTCCTCTGGCATGCCTGAGGCATGTTGGGGACGACGCTGACTGCTGCAGCGAAAGCACACCTGTGATGACTGTGATGTGGGCAAGGACCCCTGCAAGCTCAGAGCTTCTACTCCTTGTATGCCAGGAGGCTAGCTGGAATGTTGCAGGCCTGCTGGCGACGTGGAATCAGGAGTTGTGTCGCGAGGCACTAGGCTTTGGACCGAGGTCGCAACCTCAAACATTCTACTTTGTTTTTGACTGGTTGTTGGGAATCGTGTAGCGGGGTCCTTGAGTTTCGTTGGCTGGAATGTGGCCTTGCACAGGCAAGGGGCCTAGTTGTAGCTGTATTTGAAACATCAGTTGACATAAATAAACTTCGTATAATCTAACACCCCCACTGTGAGGTTGGGAACAAAGAATCCTTTAGGCGTTTAGATCCTGACACAATCGGCCTCCCAACTTCCCACTGCTCTTTCTTGCTGCAAGCGGATGCCGGCCACGATCTTGTTGTAGCTTAGGACATCCTTGCTGTACGGCACAAGCGAGCCATTTTACTTTTGACGCAACTAGCGTTTTTCGAAATCAGAGCCAGGGCACGTCTCGCACGGGCAGCTTGGCACGTCCCCAAGGCTCGTCGGCGAAGAGGCCTGCTCTGAATTCCATGGGCAAAGAACGTCATTGCCAAGTTGGTGGCACCACGAGATGCACAGTCTTCCAGACTTGGCCAAGAAACCATACGCCAAATCCTGGGCAGTCAACGGCCAGCACACCCCAGAGGGCTGACTGCAGAGTATCACAGGCAATAAGGATCCGGCTAAGCGTTCCGGCAAGTTCTGCATGGAGAAGTTCTCGCTAAAGTTGGCAGAAGCCAACTTGGTGTAGGCCCCGTCCAAGCCTAGCCACATGTTGCAGGCCAGTTGGCCGCTGCAAAAAGCCTAGCATGCTCAACGCATACAACAGTCACATTTGCTCCAGCATGTGCCTGACGCACGCCTTCAAAACAGTGGACTGGACGGACCACTGAGCGTAAGGTAAATTGTGATCTCGCAGCGAGAATTGCTACAGCTTCTGACACGCCACCAGGCCTTCGGACCAAGCCCAAGAGTGCTGCACCAAGAGTGGCAAAAGACCCAAACGAAGCCAGGACCAGAAATCTGCCAGGGAGTTCACATCATGAACCTCGGCTGCAGACTGTCCATGTCAAATCACTTTTTAGAGCACTTACATGGAATGGAGGCACGTGCGCGCATCTGCTGGCGAGAGAAACTTCATGTTTGCGGCGTCGGGAACAATTTTGTTGGAAGGCACACGTCAGATCAAGAAGGCGCAAAGATTGTTTACTCAAGCACTTGGGTGTCGGCATTCTTGTGGCCGAAGTGGTCCGACCAGGCAAATGTTGCACTTTCTTCAATTGCCTTGGAAACGCTGGTTCGCCGACTTTGGCAATGGCAAATCATAACTTGACATATGATTGCGTCGAGGAACAGATTTCCAACCTCCTTCAACGACCACAACGAAGTCAGGTCTCGTGTGCATGTAGACAATGACCTTGCGAAACGTGCACAAACTCGTGCCAGCCCTTTGCAATGGAGTCGGGCAACCAAGAACAAAGACACAAAAACAGAACCTCTCTGGCAACACCAAGGTGTCAAATGGCAAAAGCATGTCAGCTGAGGGCACCACAGCAAAGGTTAACAGCAAAAGCATTGTCCATGGCATCTCCTAGGCGCCATGAATGATTTCTGACTGGGGCAGAGACTTCACACTTGCAAGCATGAAGAGGGGCAAGGAATGCCGCTTCGCTGTCCAACTCATTGCGCAACCAAAGCAAGTAGAGGCCCAGCTGCACCTTTACAGCAAGCGAGTAACAAACATGCGAGCACTTCCACCGCAAACGTCAATGCAAGCCTGGTTGTCTTGCTGACTGTTCGCCACTTTCCGGGCAATAGGCTTGCGTGTTGCACGCCCTCTCACCTTGGGAATTTTGGAGCAAGAGCTTCAAGAAATACCAACAGACTGGCAAACACAGCACATCACGGCACAGTCACACGTACCATGGAGGCAGCTCATTGCCCAGCACTGCGGCCGTCACGCCAAATGAAACAAGGACATGGGTCCTACTAAGCAGGCTAAGGCGTCCAGATGCGTCCAGCACATTTATGCCAACTCATCTTGTAAAACAACTCTTGCTGCCAACTTGTGGTACCATGATGTTGTTGACATTGGGCAAACTCTGACAAACTGACACCGAAGACCGCTAACCCCATGACTGATCATAAGGCTCTTCCTGAAGTCCGTGAGCCAAAGCTGCATCATGAATGTATAGCAGTGGCCAAACTCGGATTGCAGACCACTGAGATCCTGAAGCCTGGCCTGACTGGTCTGCGAACTTGGGGTTGGCGCAAGGACATGCCTGCTCAGTTCCCTAATCTTTTTGGAGTGCACTTGGCAGCACCTCGCAAATGAAACTTTACCTCACCGAGACCGAGGGCGGAACCCCTTTGAGCGTTCCAACAAGCAGGGTCGGCAACCTCTTCCTGCACTCGCTTTGGAAACATGCCTTCTCAACTTGTGGCTGAGATGGGACTCCTCGATTGCGGCATGAAAGAATGTAGCCATTCCTCTTGAAGGATCGATCGCTGCCTGGAACTGTCTCAAGCTCTGCGAATTCTGTGCCTGGAATTACTGGCCTGAAGATCCGCAAGGCAGACCCATTGCAGGCGGCCGGATTCCCGTCCTCCACGGCCTCATGAAAAAGCACTGCTCTCCTGCACCAAACTTTTCGGAGGCATGCATGACCTGAACTCTGAAATTGTCTCCACATTGGGGCTCTGCACAGAGCAAAGAAATTACAGAAAATGATTCCTGAAAGGCTCTTGCCCGAAACAATCACATAGAATTTCAAAACAACATTGCAATTTCATGACTCAAGACAGGCGCCTGCAAGTCGGGCACAAGGCTCTTCTCCAATCGTGCCTGCTCCAAAAGCTGCCTCCAGTGCGACACCTGGGGCTCGGCCTCCCAAGCCATCAAACCGTCACGAAACCAACATCAAGGCAAGCAAGCCTATCTGAGCCTCTGACCCCCATCCAATGAGGGGTCTCAAAGCTGCTTCAACATCTTCTTTCAAGCCCGACATCTGAGCAACACGTCTGCGGATAATGCTCGCGCTCTTGAGACGTCCTTTTCAAAGGCTGCACATATGCAACGAAGCTGTTCTGCGGCATCACACGCAGTAACGTTTTCAGCTTGAAATGTCCAATGGGCACATCAGTAAGGCTCGCTCCTAAACTCCCAAATTGATCACACACACGCAACACCTTCATGACCCGTTGCCCCAACTTGGTTCCTAGTCAAGGCTAAAAAATAGCACCAAATTGGCTTGCACGGAGAGGCATCACAAATCTGGGCGTTGCACTTGGGAATGCCTGCCTTTGCTGATGTTCTGCCAGAGAGCTTCCCAATCGGTCACACCAGCAGGGTACGGCCTTGAATAATCTCTAGGAACGTTGCGGTCCGAAAGCTGCTTGTCTATGTACAAGTACGGTATGTCAGCCCATCTGCTGGCAGGAAACATCCACAAAAACTCGCAGCCGCTGTCCCCAGCGTCAATGCCATGCAAAGTACCAGCTGGTATATTTACGTGCAAACCCGGAAATATTCTATGCCTCGTCTCCTGCGCCGTGAACTCGTGCAACTTGACATTCCCGTCTCCACGTATAAAATGATAGATTTCCCCAAACGGTTCTGGGTGGTAATGAGTCGGCAATTCTTTACGTGGCCCCAGCTTCAACAAACCTCCGGTTAACCCAGTGGCACTGCCGGGTTCTGCATCAGCTCGCGTCAGCTCTTGCCATGCCAACTGTTGTCTAGAAGCTTTCTCCTTGTCAACATGGTCAGACTCCCAAAAGTTCCATTCACGCCAAGCCGAAACGACAAAATTCTCGGATGCTGCTCCACAGAAGAGAAACATATCCGCAAGGCAAATCCAACAGCACAACGCCAATGGCCGCTCAACGAAGCACATCGTGAAAACGCTACTATAATTGCAGGCTTTGACATGTGCATGAATGCAAATTGTTCGACAATCTGTGTATTCTTTGCTCAACTTTGAGCCATGACTGCGTCACATGTTGTCACATCAACAGGCATGAACTCATGCATCCCCTACATTCCCATACCACACAGCAGCTGTCTGTACCACCTGTGCCGACAATAAATGTAAGCACAAGCCTCGGATTCCATGACCAGGATGGCACACAACCTTCTTGCACATCATTCATAATCAAGAGTCGTATAGACGTGTACAAAGAGATGCATGCCGCCCCAATTCTGCTACATGTTCATAAAGGACGTTGAACAGCATCCCAAATCGCAACTCAAATCCCAAAGCCAGTCTCTCGTATCCGGTCCTCTTCATTCACAAACTCATCCTATCACGTCCTGACCGAAAATGTCCCAACTCCTTCCCAAACCTCACACCTAGACCCAGCCTTAAGTATCACCACGAAACCGAAACCAGAATCAAACAACACCTGAACAGCACCGGGTCCCGTCCAAGTTTATGCAAGCACTTGCTACCAAACTCGCCACAACAACCCTGCTGACCAGCCAAAGCATGGGTTGCATCAAAACAGTCGCAAGTAATGCCAAATGATGGTTGTTTGCCGCTGCCTCATTCATCTGGCTGTTGCCTGTTTCGCTGTACAAGGCACTGTTGTCAAACCAAATGAGCGGTTGTATCTTCGCAGGCAAAGGCTCGCTCTTAGTCATCTTGCCCAAGGCGTACAGCTGCCAACACTTAAGCCAGCAGCTAGAGGCCGTCAGCCAGCATGTGCCGCAACATCACGTTCCCATGAAAGGGAAGGTTGAGAAATTTAATGCAACACCTGTCAGACCCTTGCTGGACGAAGCAGATATTTCCGGCTGCGCTGGATTTGGAACCTCGTAGTCAGTGCGGCTAGGTGCACTGGCACCAGGGAGTAGTACACTGGCATTCACAAACAGTGCCGACGCAACAAAAGCCGTCACTGCAAGCAGTTCTTCTGATGCATCTTCATCGTCCTCATCATCTTCGTAATTGTCACTTTTGAAACCCGCTGCCGGCTCTGAACGTCCAACGTTCCACCCACGTTGTTGTTGGGCACGAACTGGCGTGTCCACATCAATAATGACTGAAGAAGGAGTTGTTGATGACGACCTGGCGCCGATCGTCACAGGCCTCTGTGAGGGCTCTGTAGCCTCGGCGCGCAAGGTACGACGCAAAGCGGCACCTGGCGCGTCAGCAACTGCCTTCTGTTGAGGATTGGTATTTGTTTGCTCCGTCTCCACACGCATGGGTGGCATTTCAACTTGTTGGCTGGCGCCGCCATTCAAATTGTCTGTGTCCCGATGAGCTGGCACTCCATTCGTCGGCAGCTTGTTTTCCATTTGCAATTCCATGCCCTGAACAGCCAAAGGCGCTGACAAGCTCCTTCCAGACCGGGTAGTTCCAGAGCCTTCCGCGTCTCGGGGTCGACTACCAGGCGCGGATGTAAAAGCCTTGGATGGTTGGTCTGCCACAAAACCTGTGCTCCGTCGCGACGCAACACCATTCGGATTCTGTGAAGGCGCTATCGTCGATGACGTCGCACGCTTCAACGACCGATTGCCCGCCAAATCAATAGGTGTGCCATCAGCCAAACATCCCATGTCAGCAATGTACGCAGACGGCGGCAAAGGCAGCCCTGGGACATGTGTATCAGGTTTAATCGATTCGGGGTGGTTTATCGCGTTGCCAGCCCTGTTCACAGCTGTGCCATCCGCCAGATACGCCACTTCAGGTGCTACTGAAGCTGGCCGGATTTGTTTGAGGGGCGGCGATCGTTTCCGAAATGCCGCATTTCCAGCCGTTGAAATAGGGGTGCCGTCAGCCAAGCATTCAGCGTCTTTGTCCGAATAAGAGCCCCCCTCATTGGCCGCCAAGCATCCGACCCTACGCGAGGCACGGGCTGTGACCACCAGAGTTGCACCCACGAAGGATGCCAAAACCGACGAAAATTGCACATCTCCAGTGTGCAGACTGCGATACACATGCAACGTGGAACACGTCAACTCTTGCCGAGGCTGCGCTCGGCGAAAATTACAAATGGCACGGCATCTTCTTTCGACATTGTTTCCATATCCGGGGCGGGGCACGTTCACAATAATCGGACCCGCTACAGGGCACCATTGCGCCAACAAGGCAAACATTTGCATGGGCGCATGCGCTTCGTTGGCGAAACAGAGTGAATCAACTCAATGTGCTGTAGGGACCGCATGTGAGATGTTCTGACCGGTTCCATGTTTCTTGGGACATGAGTTACCCTTCGGCACTGTGCGACAAAAAATTGTTGGAATGCCGTGTTGACTTGACATGCTGCGACCGGAACATGCTAGGCTATTGGCCTCCACAAGTCGTGCTTGAACAAATGTCACCCATTCAGTGCTCCATGCATGACTCACGAATAGTGCGCCTTACAAACAAAAAAACGCTCAATTTTCAAAAAATGATCCATGTTACAGATTATGCCCGTTTTTTCCAACTATCCAGGCAGTCTTTTCAGTGCCCCTATCTTTGTCTCATGCAAGTCTTGATTTTTCCAAGCGCTAGCAACTCCGTTTGTCGAGCTGGCTTGGTGAACGCAATCAACAATCTCCACGAAGGATTTCATCAGCGCACGTTCACTACTCAGCACACATGTTTAATCCAAGCCCAAAATTTGCGCATCACAACCTGGGTTACACGGCACAGGTTTGGTTGGCAAGAAGGAGACTGGCACAAACCGCGTGATTCAGGCAGGGCCCAAACGTGGTGGGTGGCACATGTTTTGGAACTCACATGCATTTGTAACACGCAACACCGGAAAATGAAACAAATCATGTGATGTTCTTTTGTGTTGGCGTCCGTGAAAAAACACGGATGAACCAAATGGCCGGCATCGCCCAGCAACAGCCCCTCGCAGTGTTTTACGCGGCCAGCTGAATAAAAAGATCATTCACGGTGAAATGTGCATGCACGCAATTGCATCTCAATTCATAGTTGCCTGTTGCAACATAAGGGCCTGCTAAAAAAATCACCTTTTCCTACATACTACGGAATCTACAGCCTACATCGTCACATTATACACAAGACTGGACAGCGTCGCGTGGCTTGAGGAATCCTCATCGACCCATACGAAGAATTGCTCGACTCAGCCCCTTGCAAGCAGATAACTGCGCGTTTGTTTGTTTTTTTCTTGCGTCGCGCAAGCACATGGGCTTTGAGTCCTTGCCTCGCGCGCCATCCCCCTTGAGCGCGCACTCGCCAGGGTGTGCCGCGAGGCTGGCGCACGTGTGGCCAGGAATGTGCGCTTGGCTGATATGAACTTGGA